CCCAGATGGAATCTCCCCTTGGATACTAAAGGAAGGAGCAGAATAACTGTGCCTACCACTCTCCATAGTGTATAACAAATCTCTGGCAACAGGGAAACTGCCAGAAATTTAGAAAGCAGCTAATGTAGTCCCGATATACAAGAAAGCGGATAGACAGGAGGCACTGAATTACAGGCCAGTGTCCCTAACCTGCATACCATGCAAGCTGATGGAGAAGATTGTGCGAAGAAAGCTAGTGGAGCACCTGGAGCGAAAGAACTTTGTAACACAGCACCAGCATGGATTCAGGGATGGCAGGTCCTGCCTCACAGGGTTACTTGAATTCTACGACCAGGCAACAAAAATAAGGCAAGAAAGAGAAGGGTGGGCAGACTGCATATTTTTGGATTGTCAGAAAGCCTTTGATACAGTGCCACACAAGAGGCTAGTGAAAAAGCTGGAGATGCAGGCTGGAGTGAAAGGGAAGGTACTCTGTTGGATACAAGAGTACCTAAGCAACAGGAGACAACGAGTCAGTGTGAGGGTGAGGTCTCAGATTGGCGAGACGTTACGAGTGGAGTCCCGCAGGGGTCAGTCCTTGGACCTATACTGTTTCTGATATATGTAAATGATCTTCCAGAGGGTATAGAATCGTTTCTCTCAATGTTTGCCGATGATGCAAAAATTATGAGGAGGATTGAAACTGAGGACGATAGTAGGAGGCTACAAGATGACCTAGACAGACTGAGTGAATGGTCCAACAAATGGCTGTTGAAGTTCAACCCGAGTAAATGCAAAGTAATGAAACTAGGCAGTGGAAACAAAAGACCAGACACAGGATACAGAATAGGAGGTGAAGTACTTAATGAAACGGACAGAGAGAAAGATCTAGGAGTTGATATCACACCAAACCTGTCTCCTGAAGCCCACATAAGAAGAATAACGTCTGCGGCATATGCGAGGCTGGCTAACATCAGAACAGCGTTCAGGAACCTGTGTAAGGAATCATTCAGAATCTTGTACACCACATATGTAAGACCAATCCTGGAGTATGCGACCCCAGCATGGGGCCCGTATCTTGTCAAGCACAAGACGAAGCTGGAAAAAGTCCAAAGGTATGCCACTAGACTAGTCCCAGAACTAAGAGGCATGAGTTACGAGGAAAGGCTGCGGGAAATGCACCTTACGACACTGGAAGATAGAAGAGTTAGGGGAGACATGATCACAACCTACAAAATCCTCAGAGGAATCGACCGGGTAAACAAGGATAAACTATTCAACATTGGTGGGACGCGAACAAGGGGACACAGGTGGAAACTGAGTACCCACATGAGCCACAGAGACGTTAGAAGGAACTTTTTCAGTGTCACAGTAGTTAACGGATGGAATGCATTAGGCAGTGATGTGGTGGAGGCTGACTCCATACACAGTTTCAAGTGTAGATATGATTGACCCCAATAGGCTCAGGAACCTGTACACCTGTTGATTGACGGTTGAGAGGCAGGACCAAAGAGCCAGAGCTCAACCCCTGCAAGCACAATTAGGTGAGTACACTGGAAGTACTTTCACAATAATCAACTGCCAGGAAAATCCCTGGTGTTACTTACATACAGACATTCTTTACGTGTGCACTTATGACCAGTACTGGACTTCTTCTCCTGCAAAAGATTACTCTACATGGAATAAGAATCACCTAGAATGAATTTCCTAAAATCCTACCAGAGTGGAATATAACCACTAGGACATCCCACTCAGTCCTTGGCTAATATATGTATAATCTGTTCCCGTGTGTACACACACACACACACACGCAAATGCACGCCTGCCCACACAGGTAAAATCCCTGTAGACTGACAAGAACGTCAATAAAAGTGAAAATCCCACGCGAACGCACTTCTCTTCACCTCTACAGGTGCTTGGAGACAATGCTGGTGGACTACCTGACCCTCGAATCCAGGCTTAGAGATAATAATCATCAAAAATCACACAGGGTACTTACTTCATATACACAGCTGGATTATTCACGTACATACTCAAGTGTCCTACCATACCCAGGCACCTACTGTAGGTGGGTAGTCACGGCGGCTGGGCTTAGGTGATAGCCTAGGATGGAGTCTCGCGTGGCTCGGTGCGTTTTCGTACCCTTACTCACAGCACACGGCGCAGTTCCGTACCCCCACCAGCGAAGCGAGGTGTTCGTACACGAATGGCGTCTCTCACAAAATTCCCACGAATTTCTATGGGAAAACATGCCCCCAGAACACTTGATAAGATATTACCCTTTCACTCTACTGCTACAGAACACTAGCAGGTGGTCAGAATATCTGGTTAATCATTGAAATTGGGCCCCACGAATTTGGTAACTGCTCATATGCTACTTTACCCACGTTCCACGATTTTGTTTCTACAATCGCTTGCTATCCCACCCAAATACGACGAGTTCCCAGATTCTGCTACGTTCTATGGACTCTCGTCGATGTTGCTGGTAGCTGGAGATGTATAGTAGCCAACCGCCACGACGCTCTTTACTCAATTTGGCCGAATGAGCAATGGAGGACGTCAGGCAAGGGCGGAGGCAGGAGGCAGAATGCGTCTTGAGGCAAGACGCCGGCATCTTCCCGGGTCCTCCTCAAGCGAACCATTCAAATGAAGGCACACAGCTGCCTAGTCTCTTAGCCAATCAGAGACGAGCTTGCATAGCCGCAGGGGCTACTCCAAGATGGCCGACCAAAATGGCCAGCTGGCATTGCGATGGTAGCAAGTGGTCCACCCTCGCCTCCACGCTTCGCGCCTTCCCGTGCAAACCCTGTCTACCTCCAAGCTCTACAAAATAAAAGTTGTTGCTCGCTCTAACACTTTGCACATATATGCAACAACGGCCATTGTAGCATATTTGGAATCCTGAAGACTCAGGCTCTCAGATAAGCCCAAACTCGAGATGAATCGGTATGGGTTACCAGAACTAGTCCCGTGCACGTGAAGTGCACGTGCTGAGTGCCACGGCACGTAAAACAAGTGGAAAGTTTAGCTGGTGTCAAACCATCCCCTCACAGGCAGCACCCTATTGGTCAACAATGCCACACACCTGGTACTGACCAATCAACAAGCAGCTGGCGTGGCTACCACAATGCATTGTGTACTCATCTCATCCAGCGGTAATGCTCTCCTCCCTCCTCCATATTTTCCTGGCCGAAAAAGCCTAAAGCCATTTTCAAAACAATGAGAATCATAATTGCTGTCAACTGACAGTTCAGGCTACTCCTAAAATATACAAAATCTCTTCCCCATGCTTCAAGGTATATACAATTCAGGGTGATATGACTCTTATAAGCGGGATATAGGTTAAAAGGGCCTGAATTCCGTAACTACACACAATTGCTTCTTCAGCTTCAAAGGCCTGAAAATCGGTTTCTCCTCAAACTCTTTAAATATTTTTGTAGATAGTCTACATGGTAATTGCCCCAACTTTTCCTAATGCATCAACATAGTAACATGAACACAAAAAATAAATATATTTTTTTGAATAAATTGACAATTTTACATTTTCAAATAAAAATGTAAATTGTAAAATGTCACCAATTGTAATTTTTGTTTAATATTCATATGTACAGAAATGTGTCAAAGACATGCACTCCTGTATGTGTTCATATTCATTTACGTATATTAATAATTAAAAACCTAAATCTTATGATTGCAAACAGAACACAGTTTGCCTTTAAATATTTACATGGTAATCACTTATTTGCTGTTGGTAAAAGTTTATTAGTTCCAATTGTGGCCGCCCAGCACGTCCAGACACTGGGTGGTGATGTACTAGACATGGTCCTCATCTTCTAAGGTCCTAGATGGGAAAACAAGGGCCGCAGGATAATTTGTTGTTAATGAGGGATGGTTACTGGAGGCCTGAGGAAGCTATTGTGATCCCCATGTATGCGTGGGAGTTTACACTTTTGTGATAAGCCTAAAACAACCCTGGTTGTGGTGTACACTATCACTGAAACAACCCTGGTTATGGTGTGCAGTTTAAGGGTTAATAATCCTCCATAGGTAGATAGGCCTTAATTCCAAAACCACTAGCCCTTACCATCAATAGCGGGAACTCACCCCAATTAGCACAAGTAGGTCAGAGTTTCCTATATTGTTTCTTAGTGAAAACGTTTCATCGACAAATTTATACTAATTTGGACATTCTGTATGTTACATTTAAGCAGCAGTGTCATGTTTATACAGGTGTGATGAACCTCAATAATATTCCAGCATAAGGCCGATGAGGGGCCTACAAGAGGCTGCAAATGAATTTTGTAAATTAGTAATCATAGTTCTGTGATCAGGTCATTCAAATGAAGACGCTGTAATGTGAATATATTTACCGGTCATAATTACAGATTCCTCAAGCGCACGAATCATCTAAAAAAAACTGGAACATTTTGAAAACTGAAAATGATTATGTAACACATTACTGAGTTTTATTGTTGAAGTGAAGTTTGGAAGCGCTTTAGAGCTCATTAAGTCTTCAAGCGCTAGACCTTATGAGCTCAATTTACCTTTATTATTTGGGTTAACTAACAAATGCTTGTTAGCTATTAAGCTATCCACTTAAGGTTAACTAACAAATGACTTATAGCTTTATCCACTTAAGGTTAAGTAGCAAATGACTTAATAGCTTTATCCACTTAAGGTTAACTAACAAATGACTTTAAATCTTTATCCACTTAAGGTTAAGTAACAAATGACTTAAAAACTTAGATCAACGGACATTGGGGTTAGGTTTATCCAACAGTGTCATTTTGATGAGACACTGTCCCTTACGTTAATTTGCACTACTATTTTGGTTAACTAATGGAGGTTAATGGGTTAATTAGTGAAAGTCTGGTCTAATTATCTCCTTAAATTTTTATGGTTCATTGTGTTATATTAAGCAACTCAGGCTCCTCAATAAAACATTTTTTCTAGAATAATTGATACATCGCTCTATTATCTGGATTACCTTACTTAAGCCTTTGTTTCATATGACTATTTCTGAACAAATTATTGTTACTTTATCTCTCAGGTTGTTGAAGGGTCAGATCCACTTAAGGAAACACAGTCTCTGATAAACATGCCTACAAATTTGACCGATGGACCTCTGTGGCGCGTTCGACTTCTATCATCTACCCCTGAAGCCCTTCCTCCTCGGCCAGAGATAAACGAAAAATTTCCATATCGGAACACAGTGATATTTGAGTGCCAACATGCAGCATTTGATGGTGCTGATATCATAATGATTATTGGTTGGTTCCATAAAATCATTGATGACATGCTAAGCGGAAAGCCCATTGATACTTTGCAATTTGGTCAACTTGCAGACCACAGTCAGACATCGGAAATTACCCAACAAATAAAATCGGCTCTTGAAAATGATCCTGAGCGGTTGAGCTCATTAATTAAACTTAAAAAACAAGAGCCTGCCACTTCTGTCCTCATTGAAGCTTTCGGAGCCCCAGAACCATCTCAGGCAGAGACAAAATACTTGGAAAATGTTTTTCTGAATATCTCAGATGTTGATAAATTTCATGCCAAGTGTCAGTCTGAAAATATATCGTTCAATTCAGGATTTACGAGTGTAATTAACACGGCTCTTGTTGAGGTAGTAATGGAGGCTGGCTTTACACGAGACGCCTACAATATTAGGAGTCGTATTCCCATTGATATGCGTCGTTACATGAGAGATTACTCCAAGGGCCTTTCGGGTTTCCATGGTGCTCCAATGTATCAGAGCATTTCAACACCTTACAATGTTAAAGATCATTTCTGGATGTATGCAAAGCAGTATGATGTTCAGTTTCAGAATAACTTGAAGAAAAAATCATTTATTGAAGATATGATCATTGAGAGAATGCTTCGGCCAGCTGATTTTTCTCCTGAGAAATTCTTTGCAAATCCACAACCTATTACGAGAGACTATTTGTTTACAAATATGTTTAAACATCAGTTCAGAACATACGGAGTAGGTAAACATGTTCAGCTAACAGATTTTAAAAGTTATGTAAATATTCATGCTGTTGACGTTACATTCATCTGCGCCTTATTATTAATATGTGAAGAGGTCCGGTTTGATGTCTGGTACTCGTCACGGGGATTAACAAAAAATACAGCACAAAACATTGCTGACAAAACTGTTTCAGTCTTCAGTGAAATTTGTGAAAATATATAATGTTTAGATGTCAGATCAAGGAATTCCTTCATATGTAAGAAATCATAGATGTCAAGAGTGGGTCACTTTGGGGCTTAAATAGCCAAATTACATTTCAATATTTACTGTAACATTTCGACGTATATGTACTTAGTTATGTGTAATGTAAAATTGGCTCCAGCAAGTCAGTGATAGATAGTAAGTGCTCTCAAAACATAAAGCCTCATTATCCAGCCTATCCACCTGTTTTGGTGAGTACTAATAGTAACGATGAGGTCATTGCTATATATCCCGATGTACAACAAAATTAAAGAGTAGAAATCTGAACTAATGAGTTGAACAAACCGGAAAATAATTTTTTACTTGTGTTGCTTTGACACACACCCTCATGTGATGACTAGTGTGCATCTGGGGGTTCCAAGAATTACCCTCATGGCTTCATTTCTAATTCTCTCTAACGCTTTACCCCTATTGCTAGAGAGACTCATAAGGTGCAGGGCAATGTAGTCCAATAGTGACATGATGGATATCATGTAGAACATTCTGGCATTTTGTACATTAATAGAGGTGACTTGATCATTAAGTTTTCCTTAAAATTAATTTCAATTTTAATTTTGATGACCAAATACACAAAATATCATCACCCTAACTAAACCAAGGAATAATTCTGGGGGTAATTTTACAAATAAATTTCTTTAAAACATTTCTTATACAGATTTGAAAGAAATAGTTTTTCTTTCAAATTAATTTTTTCTTTCGATTAATTTATCATCAGTAATGATTTGGAACATTCTTTAATTTGTTAAAAATCATTTAACTAAAGATCATATAAATCCACCGAACTAGTCAAATGTGAATAAGAAATAGTACCAAAGAGTGGGGGGCAAAATTTTAGTGAGCCACTTAGAAAGCTCAAAGATAATGGGTCCCACAAAACTTATAATAGGTCTTGTGGTATAATTAGGCTTATGAGTCTTGATTAAATGGAATAATAATAACTATTGTATAAAATTTGTGTGGATCCCTTCCCTTGCAGGTGGAAAACATGACTTTGTAGATCGATTGGATAATGAGGCTTACAGGAAAGAAAATATTGATTATGACTTTGGACTATCTAATGCAATTATTAGAAGCATACAAATTAAAGAAATTAATTCAGATTTAGAAGAACTAAGAAATGCCCAGAGACCTGAAAGCTGCAGTATTAAAAGCTATGACAAGTTTTGTAATAATAGGTATTTGTATGTCAGCACAGTAACCGGACCAGGCAATGTGATGTAGTCATTACCCGAATTCGCCTTGGCAATAGGCACATCTGGCAGGTTAGTGTGGCTGAGGCACTACCAGAATATTCCGATTGAAAACTCTATGACAAACCTTTAATGCATTCACTAGAACACTATATTGTTGAATGTGAAACCGTAAAAAATTATAGACCACCTGGCCTATTGTACCACCAACTGTGTAACTATTTTATTGAATCTGGTGTACTGGACGACATCCTAAAAAAATTTAAAAAATTTGCTTGTCCATTTTAAAAAATGAAGAACAATTATATATATATATATATATATATATATATATATATATATATATATATATATATATATATATATATATATATATATATATATATATATATATATATATATATATATATATATATATATATATATATATATATATATATATATATATATATTGTCATGCGGGGGGTGGGCCGGGGCTCTGCTAGCACTCGGCTGCTAGGGGCTCAAAAGGCCGAATACTCAGCCCCTCCGACTTCCGGGATTCACTGGAGTCTCCTTGGTCACCCAGGAGAGGACCAACAGTGCCCACCTCCGCAGGTCTTTGCTTCCACCACAAAAGGGGTGCCACTGATTCACCCTGGAAGCCCTTCAGTCAAACACGAGGGAACTACTGTTAACAGTTCCGGCCTAGACCCATGGAGGAGTGAAGGAAGACTCAGGCTTACCTTATAACCATAATCTCCCTGAGTCTTGCCTGCCAGACAAAAATGTTGCAGGAACTCCTTTCCCGCCTGTCTTCTCTATCTTCTTCTTAACAAGGTCGCCAGCTGGGTTATTATATCTGCACCCCAGCAATGCAGTTCAGTGGGTGTATTATATATTGTTTGTAGCCAGAAGATTGCTACTCCCATAGATCTGCTACTAGACTGTTGGCCCAGGGTACTCTCCCAGGAAGGTCTGTGTGGCTTTACCTCTCTCTAGCCACTACGTTAATAGTTGCCACCATTCAGGCACTGATACTGATCGGATGGCTAAGGGTACACTTTTATGTAAGTCTGTGCTGTCTTCACCACTCTCCAGGCAATAAGAACTTCTATAGAGAACGTAGTGTTCCCTAGGAGGTACTATGATAACCTTCGTGTATGCTCATAGAGAAATATTATAATGGGGGCACACTTAAACACAATGATAAATGTGTGAATTTACTGATGCAAATTACATGATCACACATACAAACACAAGTAATACATGAATATGAAAATAAGGATAATAAGTCTGGAGATCGTCAGCCTCTTCTTCCACGACCTCCAACACTCCTTCAACTGGACAGAAAGACAGGAGTCCCACACTCTCTCACAGGAGGGCCTCTTCACCACGTCGGCGCCTCTTCTTCACTGTCCTGCCATCCATACACACTGTTCCCTCTGACACTCCTGGACACAAGCTGCCTTGCAGCCTATTCTACTACTAAAGAATTAATGTCCTATTGCCACATACATAAGTAAATATTGTGGCCTAACTAGCCTACTCACACAAGGGGTAATGGGAGGAAAAATGATCTACCTTACATTCCTGGCTCACGACGCCTGTCCCTCGATGGTGTGAGGTTCCCACGCTTCCTGAGTCGATCCTTGACGGTCCAGGAACGTTCCACAGGTCCTCAGGTGTCGTGGAGCCTTCGCGTCGTCGCCGTTCCGATCCCTGAGATTCAGCTACCCCAATCCTGGTTCATCGATAGGCGCTGAGCTAATCACTATTTTCCCACACTCGCCCCTTCCACAAGGCGTTGCTCCTTGTCCTAGGCACGGTGTCGTCCTTCCAAAACCCTCAGTGGATGTGACCCGGTCACAGCTAGGCTTGCCCGCCACACCTTTTCAGGCCCCCAACGTCCAGCGTCGCCGCCCAGCGTCGTCGCCGAATATTTTCCAAGTTTGACACTCTTTCGCTCAATAAACATGGTTCCTTTTTGCTTCCCAGAAGCGCGGGGTCTCCAATACATCCGATGGGCTGCGATAGCCAGCACTAATCCACTAAGAAAGGCTTGTAGAGCCTTTAATTCTTGAGAGCAGACCGAGGCGCGTCCTCTCGCTTCCGAGGTCAGGTCAACTCTGATGATGGCGCCACCCGGGGCACTCGGTGACGTCACGGCGGGCCCTAATTGGTCGCCCGCGACCTAAGTCGGCCAGTCCGCGATCGGCTAGTGTCCCTTCCAAAAGGTCATATCTGCATTAGGGGATACTCTTTCATTTTATAACAGGGCGCCAATTTCCCCTTACTTACAACTTATAATGTAACTTCCTTCCCTTAACTGGCAGCCGGTCTGGTCGCCACATATAACAATAGAGTCCCTGAACCTCAGAGAATCAGTAGGGAGAGCTGATATGACTCTTAAAGCTGGCAAACGAAAGAGATAGGAGAGGGCACCGTAACACTATATATATATTTATATATAAATATATATATATATATATATATATATATATATATATATATATATATATATATATATATATATATATATATATATATATATATATTAGGGTAGACAGAGGGTAGACAGTTGGTGTGGGACTACACATGTGTATCCACCCTGGCTGACACCTATGTACACTTCGGAGCTGATCAAGCAGGTGGGGCGGCCAACCACAGGGAAACAGCAAAATTACTCAAGTACAGGCGACTGGAAGGTCAATACCTCTTTGTTCCCATAGCGTCTGAGACGCATGGCCCCTGGGGCAAGAGTGCCTTGGGATTTCTCAAGGAATTGGGTTCCAAGCTCATTGACGTCACCAGAGACCCAAGGGCTTCCAGTTTTTTATTTCAGCGTCTCAGTGTGGCGATCCAGAGGGGAAATGCTTGCTGCGTCCTCGGTTCCTGTCCAGAAGCGGAGGAGCTTCAAGAGATCCATAACCTTTAGGCATTTGTCTTGTATGTTTTGTAACCTTTAAATACACAATAAAGGAAAAAAAAAAAAAAAAGGGAAGGGGTGGTAGGAGAAAAACACACAGAAACTGTATTGGAGGGGACCTACATTCCCTCCAATGCGTTATGTGTGGTTTCCTCCGAGGCTATGGGTCCCCCTTCTTCCAGCCAGAGGTGGTACTCCCTTCCCTATTTTATATATATATATATATATATATATATATATATATATATATATATATATATATATATATATATATATATATATATATATATATATATATATATATATGTCGTACCTAGTAGCCAGAACGCACTTCTCAGCCTACTATGCAAGGCCCGATTTGCCTAATAAGCCAAGTTTTCATGAATTAATTGTTTTTCGACTACCTAACCTACCTAACCTAACCTAACCTAACTTTTTTGGCTACCTAACCTAACCTAACCTATAAAGATAGGTTAGGTTAGGTTAGGTAGGGTTGGTTAGGTTCGGTCATATATCTACGTTAATTTTAACTCCAATAAAAAAAAATTGACCTCATACATAATGAAATGGGTTGCTTTATGATTTCATAAGAAAAAAATTAGAGAAATTATTTTAATTCAGGAAAACTTGGCTTATTAGGCAAATCGGGCCTTGCATAGTAGGCCTAGAAGTGCGTTCTGGCTACTAGGTACGACATATATATATATATATATATATATATATATATATATATATATATATATATATATATATATATATATATATATATATATATATATATATATATATATATTATTAAATATGACCCAAAAAGTAAGATTAATAATTCTAACACGAATTGTCTCAATCTTTCGTACATTTCTTTTCACTGTTGGTGGTAATTCAAAAATCAATTTTCCAAAATTCATTTTTATTTCTAGTCTGACGCGACACTTGAGCGCGTTTCGTAAAACTTATTACATTTTCAAAGATTTTAGTTAACACATACACAACTGAATAGAACTTACACATCTCCGATTTTGTTTATATCTACATTTGAGTGAGGTGGATGGGGTGAGGTGGTATTTAGTTAATAAGGTATTAATTTCATCAACACAAGCCAGAACATGAAACAATGGGTATTGAATATAAGTGATTGTAGAAAGCCTATTGGCCCATATTTCTTGATGCTTCTATATTGGAGCGGAGTCTTGAGGTGGGTAGAATATAGTTGTGCATTAATTGGCTGTTGATTGCTGGTGTTGACTTCTTGATGTGTAATGCCTCGCAAACGTCAAGCCGCCTGCTATCGCTGTATCTATCGATGATTTCTGTGTTGTTTACTAGGATTTCTCTGGCAATGGTTTGGTTGTGGGAAGAGATTATATGTTCCTTAATGGAGCCCTGTTGCTTATGCATCGTTAAACGCCTAGAAAGAGATGTTGTTGTCTTGCCTATATACTGGGTTTTTTGGAGCTTACAGTCCCCAAGAGGGCATTTGAAGGCATAGACGACGTTAGTCTCTTTTAAAGCGTTCTGTTTTGTGTCTGGAGAGTTTCTCATTAGTAGGCTGGCCGTTTTTCTGGTTTTATAGTAAATCGTCAGTTGTATCCTCTGATTTTTGTCTGTAGGGATAACGTTTCTATTAACAATATCTTTCAGGACCCTTTCCTCCGTTTTCTGAGCTGAGGAAAAGAAGTTCCTGTAAAATAGTCTAATAGGGGGTATAGGTGTTGTGTTGGTTGTCTCTTCAGAGGTTGCATGGCGTTTCACTTTCCTTCTTATGATGTCTTCGACGAAACCATTGGAGAAGCCGTTGTTGACTAGGACCGGCCTTACCCTACAGAGTTCTTCGTCGACTTGCTTCCATTCTG